TGAAACTCTACCATTTGTGGGATATAGATACAAGTCTTTAGCATTGTTTTAAGGGATTTTTGGGAGAGATCAAGAAGAAAACTATTAGAAGAAAAGAGAAAAGCATCAGAATTTCTGGAGCTTTTGGAGCAAAATCATAGACTCCTTAGACTCATGATTTTCGTTTTAATAAATATGATTGTTTCTTTCATAATTGCTATGAACTAATTTTATTTTCTTGGGCTAAGATGTAGCCCAATCTGTTGATGATTATGTGTTGATTTATTTATGTTGATTTTTATTAGGATTTCTTCCTAATTTCGAAGATTAAAGCTCCGTTTGGTTTGCTTTTGGGAATACTATTATTAGTATTCTCAAAAAAATTAAACAGTAAAATTGCAAAAACTCACAATATTATTCAATATTATTCAACTTTTTTTAAACCCCTTAAATTTGTTAATGTAATTAAATACTCCTAAATATTTTTTTAAATTACAAAAACACCCCAGAAACCCATATTTACCAAATTTTGACCACCATCGTCTGGAGATGGCCGGAATATGGTATAATGGCGCACTACCGGCTGAATTTGGCCGGTAGTGCGCTGATCTAGCATTTTCTAGCCAGATCCACGGTGGATCTGGCCGGAAAAGGCTAGATCTTTGGTTGTAGCCAATCGTCAACGACGACCAACATATGGTTGTCATTGACCATCAATGACGGCCGTATCTTTGGCTATCGTTGACAAGCAAATACGGCCAGATCTGGCCTTTGCCGACTAGATCCATCGTTGATCTAGCCAGAAAAGGCCATATTGGCGCACGACTGACAAGATCCAACCGGTCATGCCATGATAGGACGACTCTGGCCACCCTCCGATGGTAGTGGTTGGCTGTCCGTATTTAATGGGTGGATTGAGGGTATTTTTGTTAACTTTTAATGTTTTATTATAGGGGTGTTTAGTAAATAAACAAACATAGTGGTTATTTTTATTAATTTCTAAATCCTACATCGTAATATCCACCCAATTCAACTTTTTTTAACTTTTTTCAAAAAACTTTTCTAAAAAATGTAAGAAAGTGAACCAAACGGAGCCTAAAACTTTGGAAAATCGTAAAAAATCGCACACTATGCATTTTGGGTCGGGGTTTGTTTTGTTGTGCTCCTAAAATCCCCATTTGAATTGTGGTGGTACACTTGTTGTGCATGCCCTTGGTGTGCAGGGAAAACCTTCCTTTCGTGCACAGTAGGGGCGTACAGCACACCGAGGGACAATCTTTTCCCCAGTTGTCCGTTCGATCTAATTTTTTGCATGGTGGTGGAGAAAAATACAAGGAACGAACATAGTTGTATTATTATGCCTAATGATTTTTATTCTTAAGAGCCCAAGAATTGAATGAAATAATGGACTAAGTCGAGATCAAGAGATGATACTTAGTTGGTCTACGGTAGTAAAACCATAGGTTGAGCGAACACTAGATATAGGTTACCGCGATTTGTGAGGTTTTGGTAAACTCCATAGAGCGTAATGATATCCAATTGTTTAAATCTGATTATAGATAATTCGGTCTAATAATTAGGGGTTAATTTGATAATTGTTTGAAAGAAAATTATTGGAAACTTAGAGACTTTGTCATGTAGGAAGAGCTTAATGAAATTAGCATAAGTTATCAATATATATGAATAACAGTTGGTGTGAAATCTATGCCCTAGGTCTAGTCATCATGCATTAAAACCAAAGATTTATTTAGTGTTTTCTTTTCAGTTTTTTCTTTTTATTTAATTTCAATTGTTTATTTTTTAATTTAGATTTTTCTTGATAAAATTTGGATTGATCAAATAGTAATAGGATAGTTTAGTTTGGTAATTTATAGTAGTAATTCCCTTGTGTTTGACATTTGTATACTTACAATTTAGTATATGCACGATTTCATACACTTGCAAAAATCACAACAGTTTCATTCCAATAGATTTTGAGAAGATGCACCTGTTGAGTATTAACATGTCTGACAAAGAGTTGTCGGGTCCAAATCCCAACACCACAGTATTTTGAAATGCTACCATTGAAGAATTATGAGGGAACAAAGATTTGTGTGGTGATGTCAAAGGGTTGCAACCTTGCAAAACTTCATTACCTGTGGCAAAACATGGCCTGAAAAAGGGTTGGAGAATCTTTTTTTACAATGTTTTTTCCTATTCTAGGAGCTCTTGCTCTTTCGTTTGTGGTGATCTTTATACTCTTTAATTCCAGAAGAATGAAAAGAGACTCATAAGATCAAGAAAGTGTTATGAACAATGAAGAATTTCATTCAATATCAACTTTTAAAGGAAGACATATGTATGAAAAAATCATATCAGCAACAAACGATTTTGATGCTAGCCACTTCATTGGGAAAGGTAGTCATGGAAGTGTTTACAAAGCTGAGTTATCATCGTAGAATATTGCAGCAGTTAAGAAAATGCACTCTATGTATACAAGTGATATAGACAACCAAAAAGAGCTCCTAAATGAAATAAAGGTATTGAAAGAGATAAGGCATTGAAATATCATGCAATTTTTTGGTTTTTGTTCACATTCTTGACACTCATTCTTAGTCTACAAGTATCTTGAGAAGGGTAGCTTGGCCACAATTTTGAGCAATGAAGCAGGAGCAGTAGTGCTAGATTGGAGTAAGAGAGCAAATGTCATAAAAGGTGTGGCTCATGCCATGTCTTACATGCACCATGATTGCTTCCTTCCAATTGTCCATCGTGACATATCAAGCAAGAACGTGTTGCCAGATTGGAATATGTAGCTTATGTCTCAGATTTTGGAATTGCTAAGCTTCTCAAGCCAGACTCAACTAATTGGACTCAACTTGCAAGCACATGTGGATACGTTGCACCAATTATATAATTCCTTCAATATCATTTTACAGTTCCTTATTGGATAAGCAATGTAAAGATAGCATATTTCTTTCACTTTGTAGAGCTTGCTTACACAATGAATGTGAGTGAGAAATGTGATGTGTATAGCTTTGGGGTGTTGGCATTGGAAGTCATCCGAGGGAAGCATCCCAGAGATGTTCTTGCCCCATTTTCAGATTCATCTGCAAACATGAACATTGAGCTTGACGATATGTTGGATCCAAGGCTTCCATTTCCCTCCTTGGAAGTTCAGAACAAACTAATTTCCATATGGATGTGGCCTTTTTATGCTTAGATACAAATCCGCAGTCTAGACCGACCATGCAGATTGTGTCTCATCTTATGTGCAACTAAATCTTGTCATTCTAGTACACTATTTCTTAAGTTTCTGAATATATTGTTTGTAAGCTTTGTCTTCCATGTACGAGCTTAGCAAAGACCAGACAAATATATATATATATTTTTTTTATGTATTTTACTGAATTACATATTTAACAAAAGTTATCATATTTGTTAGAATTTCAGAAGCCAAGAAGAAACAAGCTGCCTCTGATACCATGTTAGAAATTAGAGGGGTAAAAAAATAAAATAAAGAATAGCAATGTGCGAAGAATATCACACACACATAAGCACGATATTTGTGTGGTTCGACATAACTTGCCTACATCCACGGATGAGAGAAATTCATTATAAATTTATGAACACGATACAAGAGTGTATAACACCATCAACCTATAAGGCGAGAACTATACCCTATGGTGTTTTCTACGTATAACACCATCAACCCATTACATAGGCGGGCATTCTATTCCTATGGTGTTTAATACCCCTTCTCACATCTTCTCATTCCCTCTTTCACATAGTTTCTCTCATAACTATAAATTGGCTCTAACCCTTATATTTATCGGAAAGATAGGACATTATTTTTCTACCAGGATTCATATTTCAAATCCTAATATGACTCCCTTTATTTAGTTCATTCTCCTATTTTAACTCAAAATAAGGTCCGAAACCAATTCTACTTTCCCAATACAACTCAAAGTAAAGGAAAACAAATATTCTCCAATACAAACTCCTAAAATAGAAATTCGCCTAAAATTTAAATTCTCCTAAAAATATTCATCAACTACCAAAATGTGTTCACATTCCAACAATATTTCTGGAATTTATCTACACTGAGACTTGAGAGTGATTGGTTACAAAAATTCTCAATTAGTTGTTGAAACAGTGCAGCTGGCACTTAGCAGTTAGCATAAGCTACCAGCTGATTATTCATATTTAAAAATAGTGTTCCAAGCTACCAGCTAATTATTCATCTTTAAAAATAGTGTTCCTATCCGGGATTATGGCTTTGTTTGGGGTAGATTTTCAAGCATCGTGTTGTTGACTTTGCCTTACTGCATGCATTAACGATCAGAGACTTTCGCAGAATTTCACTTTTGAATAATTAATTTCAAGGGAAATCATCTTTCAAGAAACATATAATCAAAGAGGACCTACCTCTTTAAAATAATCAAACTTCTTTCAAAAGGCATCCAATAAAGAGAGAAAGACCTAGACTTGGAATGGTTGATAGATTTTTATTTTTATAAAGTTGTGTAAGTCATTGTCTTTAAAAAAAAAATAAAAAAAAAATAATAATAAATTGTGGTTTATGATATTGAAAGATTACATTTTACAAATTAAGATTTTTGAGACAGAATAGTGGGCATCAAAGTCTCCCTTGGTTTAATTTATAATTATGGTCACTGTGGAAGCATAACACGCTACTTTGAAAATTGGGGTGAAAGAAACTTAATCGTTATTCTTACTTTTTTCGTTACTTCAGTATGTATCCTGGTGAAGAAATTAGGATTTTCTGTTATGAAAATATAAGATCCTAGAGTGTCTTTTATCCTGGATAAAGAACAAAAACAATTAATTATGTCCACATCAAAGATTGTTTCGTGAAACCATTTTTATACGTAGGGTTGACTCTACAAAGTAACAAATTAGAATGTAGAGTGAAAGATGGTGCACTGACATTTTCCAAGCTCAAAAAGTGCTAGATTTGTTTTATAAATATGGAGTTTCGAATTAGGCTTTGCAGTACACAAACTTAGCTAGTTTAAGCAATGGCATTCTCATACCCCAATAAACTCTCCCTTATTTTCTTAAGTCTCCTTGTCGTACTAGATTTTCAACTAAATGTTGCTTTTGATTCCACTCAAGAAGCACAAGCTCTTCTTAAATGGAAAGCCAGCCTTCAAAACCAGACCCATTTTGTCCTCTCTTCATGGTCTCTTTATCCTGTTAATGCTACCAATAATTCTACTCAACACAGAACCAAAATAAACCATTGTACTAATTGGGTTGGAGTTTCTTGTGACCATGCTGGAAGCATCCATAGATTGAACCTGTCTACTATAGGTTTAAAAGGTACGCTCAATGAATTGTCATTCTCATCAATTCCTCATCTTACATATCTTGATCTTTCCATTACTGAACTCTTTGGAGTTATCCCTACACAAATTCGTAATCTCTCCAAACTGAAGTATCTTGACTTGTTAACTAATCAGTTTTCTGGGAAAATACCAACTGAAATCGGTCTCCTTACATATCTTGAGACACTCCACCTGGTTGAGAATCAGTTGGATAGTTCAATTCCAAAAGAAATAAGCCAACTAAGTTCTCTTAGTGAACTGGCTCTGTATAGTAACCGCTTGGACGGCTCAATTCCTGCTTCTTTGGGAAATTTGAGCAACTTGGCTTTGTTGTATCTTTTTAATAATTCACTTTTTGGTTCCATTCCTTCAGAGATGCAAAACCTCTTGAATCTGGTCGAACTTTACATTGATACCAATAGCTTAACTGGTTCAATCCCGTCAAGTCTTGGAAACCTTAGAAACCTAGAAGTCTTGCACATGTTCCACAACCAGCTTTTTGGTTCCATTCCTCAAGAATTAGGAAATTTGGAGTCTCTCACTAATATTAGTCTTCATAGCAACAATCTTTCAGGTTCAATTCCACCGTCTCTCGGAGGCTTGAGAAATCTCCTCAATCTTCATTCATACAATAATCAACTTTCTGGCTATATTCCCCCTGAAATAGGGAACCTGAGAAACCTTGTTGATTTAGAGTTAAGCCAAAATCTACTCAGTGGTTCTATTCCCGATTCCTTTAAAAATCTGAGCAACTTAAAGATCTTATTCCTTTGTGAAAACAATCTTTCTGGTACCATTCCCCAGGAAATTGGAAATTTCATGAGTTTTACTATATTAGAAATAGACCATAACGGCTTCACCGGTTCTTTACCCCATAATGTATGTCATGGTGGTTCACTTGAGAGGTTTAGTGCAAAAAACAACAATTTTTTTGGTCCAATTCCCAAAGACTTGAGAAATTGCACAAGCCTAACAAGAATCCTTTTACAAGGAAACCAACTTGTTGGCAATATACCTGAAGAATTTGGCATCTATCCAAAGCTAGATTTACTAGATCTCAGTCATAATAAATTTTTTGGTGAAATCTCATCTAGCTAGGGAAAGTGTCCAAAATTAGGCACCCTAAAGATAGCAGAGAATAATCTTACTGGCAGTATACCAATTGAACTTGGGAACTTAACTCTACTGGACGTTCTTGATCTTTCTTCAAATCATCTGGTTGGGGAGATTCCAAAAGAATTTGGAAATTTAACTTCTCTAGAGCATTTAAATCTGAATGGCAATCAACTTATTGGTGGTATACCTCCGGAAATTGGATTACTCACTGAAATTAAGAGTCTTGATTTGTCTGCAAAAAGGTTGAGCACTCCAATCCCTGTAAGTCTTGGGAACTTGTTGAAAATGTTTTACTTGAATTTGAGCAACAACCAGTTTATCCAAGAAATTCCACCTCAGTTGGGGAAGCTAAGTCTGCTGATAGAGCTAGATTTGAGTCATAACTTCCTCAGTGGAAAGATACCCTCTGAAATCTGTGATTTAGAGGACTCGCAGAATCTTAATATCTCTCACAATAACCTATCTAGTTTCATTCCAAGAGAATTTGAGAAGATGCACTTGTTGAGTGTTAACATATCTGACAATGAGTTGCAGGGTCCAATTCTAAACACCACAGCATTTCGAAATGCTACCATTGAAGAATTGCGAGGGAACAAAGATTTGTGTGGTGATGTCAGAGGGTTGCAACCTTGCAAAACTTCATTACCTGCAACAAAACATGGCCTGAAAAAGGGTTTGAGAATCTTTTTTATAATGTTTTTCCCTCTTCTAAGAGCTCTTGCTCTTTCGGTTGTGGTGATCTAAATACTCTTGAATTCCAAAAGAATGAAAAGAGACTCACAAGATCAAGAAAGTGTTATGAACAATGAAGAATTTCATTCAATGTCAACTTTTAAAGGCAGACAAATGTATGAAAAAATCATATTAGCAACAAATGATTTTGATGCTAGCCACTTCATTGGGAAAGGTAGTCATGGAAGTGTTTACAAAGCTGAGTTATCACCGGAGAATATTGTAGCAGTTAAGAAAATGCACTCTACATATACAGGTGATATAGACAACCAAAAAGAGTTTCTAAACGAAATAAAAGTATTGACAGAGATAAGGCATCGAAATATTGTGCAATTTTTTGGTTTTTGTTCACATTCTCGACACTCATTCTTAGTCTACAAGTATCTTGAGAGGGGTAGCTTGGCCACAATTTTGAGCAATGAAGCATGAGCAGTAGTGCTAGATTGGAGTAAGAGAGTGAATGTCATAAAAGGTGTGACTCATGCCATGTCTTACATGCACCATGATTGCTTCCCACCAATTGTCCATCGTGACATATAAGCAAGAACGTGTTGCTAGATATGGAATATGTAGCTTATGTCTCAGATTTTGGAATTGCTAAGCTTCTCAAGCCAGACTCAACTAATTGGACTCAACTTGCAGGCACATGTGGATATGTTGCACCAGGTATATAATTCCTTAACTATCATTTTACAGTACCCTTATTGGATAATCAATGTAAAGATAGCATATTTCTTTTACTTTGCGGAGCTTGCTTACACAATGAATTTGAGCGAGAAATGTGATGTGTATAGCTTTGGAGTATTGGCATTGGAGGTCATCCTAGGGAAGCATCCTGGAGATGTTCTCGCCCCATTTTAGGTTCATCTGCAAACATGAACATTGAGCTTGACGATATGCTGGATCCAAGGCTTCCATTTCCCTCCTTGGAAGTTTAGAACAAACTAATTTCCATCATGGATGTGGCCTTTTTATGCTTAGATGCAAATCCACAGTCGAGTCCGACCATGCAAATTGTGTCTCATCTTTTGTGCAACTAAATCTTGTCATTCTAGTACACTATTTCTTAAGTTTCTGATATATATTGTTTGTAAGCTTTGTCCTGCATGTACTAGCTTAGTTAAGACCATGTAAATCTTTTTTTCTATATTTTACTGAATTACATATTTAATAAAAGTTATCATATTTGTTAGAATTTCAAAAGCCAAGAAAAAACAAGCTGCCTCTGATCATGTATTAGAGAGATAAAAAAATAAAATAAAAAATAGCAATGTGCGGAGAATATCACACACACATAAACACGATATTGCACACATAAACACAATATTTGCGTGGTTTGATATAACTTGTCTATATCCACGGATGAGAGAAATTCATTATAAATTTATGAACACGATACAAGAGTGTATAACACCATCAACCTATAAGGCGAGAACTATACCCTATGATGTTCTATAAGCATAACACCATCAACCCATTATATAGGCGGACATTCTATTCCTATAGTGTTTAATACCCCTTCTCACATCTTCTCATTCCCTCTTTCACATAGTTTCTCTTATAATTATGAATTGGCTCTAACCCCTATATTTATCGACAAGATAGGACATTATTTTTCTACCAGGATTCATATTTCAAATCCTAATATGACTCCTTTTATTTAATTTATTCTCCTATTTTAACTCAAAATAAGGTCCTAAACCAATTCTACTTTCCCAATACAACTCAAAGTAAAGCAAAACAAATATTCTCCAATACAAACTCCTAAAATAGAAATTTGCCTAAAACTGAAATTCTCCTAAAAATCTTCATAAACTACCAAAAAGTGTTCACATTCCAACAATATTTCTGGAATTTATCTACACTGAGACTTGAGAGTGACTGGTTACAAAAATTCTCAATTGGTTGTTGAAACAGTGCAGCTGACACTTAGCACAAGCTACCAGCTGATTATTCATATGCCAACATCAATAAGATTGAATTGACTAACATTTTCTTTCCTTGCTGCCAAAACAGATGCCACTCAGCAGAGATAAAGCAGTTACGAAAAGGATGCGTGCCAAGTTGTAAGAAGGACTTCTCCAGTAAGACAAATGCAGTTTCCAATAGCATGCTTTGAACTGCCCCCAACTATTCTGTGGAAAACGGGTAGGAAAATGCAAGTCCTTTGAACCAGAAGGCGAACTCAATCTCCTAACCAACTCTTTGTTCTCCCTGCATAGAGCAAGAGAGTCATGTACAAGCTAAATTTCAACGATTTCGGTTAAGTAAATATCATCTACAAATCTATACTATATTCTCTTAATTTGTATTGGTCAATCACCCACGAAAAATGATTCATATGATGCATTTTGCTGAGAAAAGGTACACAGATTTACAGAACAAGTGCTCATAGGCTGAGATTTAATAAAGTCAACCCATAATTTGTACTCACTGAGATAAGGTGGACTCGTTATATATTTGTGCAAAATCAACCTGAAGTTCAGCTTCCACAGACTTAGAAGTAACCTCTAACATCCACGTTGCTGAATTATAATTGTCCTTAATCTTGGGCACCCCACTGATATTCTATTGCAAGAATGACAAGAAAATGGAATTAGGGCCAATAATTGTAGTTTGGCAGAGACCAGATATTACTATGTTAAAAAGCAAAGATGGAAAATTTGTCTTGTAGTTACAAAACTTGCTGAAGAAACTTACCTCAAAGTACTGAATAACCTTACTTGAGTGCAGATCCAGTGGCCCGCAATAGATAATTCGTCCTCCAGATTTCATTAAAATCAACTGCAGTGAGATCAAGAGGTATTAGAATTGTCATCATAGATATATACATTGGAGCAGGCAACGAAGGTAGCCAATTAGAATGCATAAAGTGAAAGTAAGCTTTAATATTAATTACATCATCAAATGCCTCAAAGATGTCTATGCTTGGTTGGTGGATGGTGCAAACAACTGTTCTTCCTGTTTGAACAGCATTCTTCACTGCTCTCATAACAATTGCAGCTGCTCTTGCATCTAAACCTGAACTGGGTTCATCCAAGAATATGATGGAAGGGTTTGCAACATGCTCAACAGCTATGGTCAGCCGTTTTCGTTGCTCAGTCGATAAGCCACTAACTCCCGGCAAACCTATCAGAGAATCTTTGATCTCATCAAGCTCAATAGTTTCAAGGACTTCATTTACAAATGCCTGGGTGCAAAGTCGAAAGATATTTCAGTGAAACTCAATCTCAATGATCAATCCGAGACCAAATGCTACATAAGCACCAGAAGGATATCATACAGCTTTAGTTTTTGAGTCAATCTGAGGTGAAAGGCGCAGCCAAGCAGATTATATTACTGATTCTTCAACAGTAACTTGCGGAGAATGTATGTCATTTTGCTCGCAATAACCAGATATTCTTGCAAATGTATCTTGAATCTTTGGGCATCCACCAATTCTTATCTCTCCTTGAATAGTGCCACCAGTTTTCCTTCCAGACAGAACATCCATAAGAGTTGTTTTTCCAGCTCCACTGACACCCATTAATGCTTAAGAATACCAGGCCTGAATGCACCAGTAATATCCGAAAGAAGCTGGAGCTTTTTCTCCTCAAAACCTCGCTTTTTCATTTCCTAAGATAAAATTGCAGCATAAGCCTTAAATATTCAGACTACTTAAAAATCTAGAGGAAAACTAGCTTTAGCATGATTACCTGAGGGGCATCCACATAGTACTGCACATCTTGAAAAGTTAAAGTTAGAGGCTCAAAAGGTAAAACCATCCTTCCTGCAACATTCAAAGATAAGATTTAGAAAACACAAGAGACATACATTACTATAAAATATAATTTTGAAATAGTCATTAACCTCTAGAATTATACATATTATAGAATTTAAATTTGCTCACCCTTTTTAGGTCCTGCAACAGTTTTTAGAGGAGCATTACTGGATTTTCTATATTTGTCTAAGCCACTACTATCATCTTCTTTTTCTTGCAGTTCAGAGTACTTTTCATAAGAAATGATGGCACGGGATTTTCCTGGAGCTGAACACGTACCAATGTATCAGTTAGCGCATGTAATGTACAAATTCTCATAAAAGAAGGAAATGAAGCAGTGGAAGATGCCCTTACGCTTCAAAAATGTCAAAGCCAAGGTAAAAATAAGATTGAAAAGCACCATGAATCCAATTAAAGCACCAATGGAGATCCAGTAAAAATAACTATCGAAATTCAATCCACGGCTCTCCAGTGTTTGCTGTCCTAAAGTTGTGTTTCCTGACATTATCTGTGAATCGAACAAACAATTCCCACATAATGAATAATTTATCCTTTTCTTAAGTTAATTCTATTCCTGCAAGTGAATTGGTTTAAATTGTCAAATAAAATTACCTTCTCCCAACGAGGAGCAAGAAATTCATTTACTGTCATGCCTATCTCCCCATATGTCAAAGGACAAACCCAAAATCCCCACTCTAGCCAAGAAGGCATAGATGCTGAAGCTCAAAAAGTAAACACTTAGTTCAATTCTCAAATAAAAACTCACAGAAATGAATACTGGAAACCCAATCTTACTTCTTGGAATGACAAATCCTCCAAATAATAATAGTAAAAATGTACAAACATTGCCAGCAGTCATAGTAGCAACCATAGTTCGGCAGATCGAGGCAATAGAACGAAACATCGATATTGATGTTAGGTGCACAAGGAAGAGTAGAAGGAACTGGCGGAAGAACCTAATAAACACAACGAAAACCAAAAAAAAAAAAAAAAAGGGTGAGGGCAGTCCAAAGAAATGCTTTCATCATGAAGATCATATATGTGCTCAGCAAGAGATAAATTCTAGTCGTTGCAGAACCTAAAGAAAGAGCAGTAGCAAATAGCCACCATGCAAAGCATCCTGTGGCCTAGATTATGAATTTAGAAATCTTAGAACATCAATAACTATTCTCCTTCAGAGTCATTTCATTTTGTCATCTTTGCTCCAAGCATCTTAAATTACTAAAATAGATGGTTACTGTCATCAAACCTGGAACAATTGTGTTAGCCACATCCCACATAAGAGACAGAGGAAATGGGATCAAACATATGCGATAGCTACATATGTTTTAATATAACTCCTTTTGCATTTTCCACTTAAGAAAAAAAACATTTCTATCTTAGACTCACCTTCCAACTTCAGGACTGTAACCAATAACATAGTAAGTGAGGGCAGTCCAAACAAAAGCTTCCAAAAATGAAAGTGGAGCCTTGAGGATACTAGTCGGAATTGCATAAGCCCAGGCAGGATAGAAGCACAAATCTCTCTGTTTATAAAAAACTGCAAGTCTTGAGACTGTCATGCTTAGCTCTGGAAATCCGTCGACGAGGAGAATAACAAGTGCATAGAATAAAGATCCCATATAGTAATTTACATCTATAACACCAACAGCCATTTGAGTACGTAGAAACACCGTCATTGTTATTGAAGCTATGATAACTAGCTGCACAGACAAAGAATGCAAAATTGCTTCCGGATTAGAAGGCACATATAAGTGGATCTATAAATGATAATAACATGAAATGATTTTAATAAAGGATGGTACCTGTGTGGATTTGAATATGTAAGTGAAAGAATTCCTCTTCATCAAAAGAAATTCCCTATTTGTGCAAGCTTTAAAAAGTTCCCATTTGGTTAACGAGAACTTCTCAAAGGATAGAGCATTTTTGTGTCTCTGAGACTTGATAAATGGCTTTGCAAGCTCCTCATCCAGCTTCAAGCCCATATGAGATTCCTTAAACTTTTTGACAAAGTGTTCAATGGAAACATACCTATAAAGCTGCTCTTTGTGGTGCCAATACTGGGCTTGATCTTTCCTAGAGAGAACCTGGAGCAATACAAATTAGCAAAAAGATCCACTTCATACAGTAAAAAGGGGATAAATATTAATGTTGTAAATCTACCTCCTGAAGGAAGTCAGCAACTCCTTTCCTCTCCGGGCACCTAAAGCCACAGTCCTCAAAGAACTTGCAAATGTAAGTGGGTGGCCCATGATACACAATCCTCCCTTCTGCCATCAGAATTATGTCATCGAAGAGATCGAAAGTCTCCGGTGCTGGCTGAAGAAGTGAAATCAATGCCGTGGCATCAGTAATATGCACCAAATGCTTTAGGAAGGAGACTATTTGAAAAGTGGTGGAACTGTCTAAGCCATTTGATATTTCATCCATGAAAAGAGCTCTTGTTGGCCCCACAATCAACTCTCCTATGTAACAACACCAGAAGATAATTCTTAGAATAACATTGATCGTCTTTTTCAAGTAAAAAGCTAAATCATCATATATCTATAATATAGTCATTGGCATATGAATACTACCTGTAGTCAACCTTTTCTTTTGACCTCCAGAGATACCTCTTCTCATGGCATCTCCAACCAGTGTGTCAGCACAGATATCAAGTCCCAGAATCTGAAAGAAAAAGCACAGAAAATATTCCATGCAAATATGCATGTCTCAGTAAGTTATAAAAAAGAAACAGGATTTTACTTGCTGAAATACCTTTAAAATGTAGTCTGTTTGCAGGGTACTTTCAAGTCCTTTGACCGATTTTGCCTGTAATAACAATATCAGTTTCAGTTACCAGCAGGATCCAGAGCAGTGCATGGAAAGTTCTAATGCACAGAAGAAAAAAAAGAGAAAAAGAAAAAACCTGAAATACTACATTACTACTAGGTGGCGTTTGGTTCAAGGAATATTAGATTATTAGGAATGTTGGATTACTGGAAAGTTAGATTATCTTAAAGATTATTGAGAATCTTTAAGAAAATGTGCTTGGTTAGTTGATGGGTATGTTATATTAATATGTTTGGTTGGGAGGAATAAATTTGTGAGTATGTTATTTAGATTACAGACTTGTCCTCTAATTAAATATTATTATTGTATTATTTTTTAACATTGGTTATTATTTGGATTATTATAATCCCCCTGCATTTAAAAACTTAGCAAAAACAACCCCATAATAAAAGTTTGGAAAATCAACAAAGCACCCCCACCAAGCCAGCCATTGTTGGCCGCCGGCAACCACCGCAAGCTGCCAGCAGCCAGCAACCTAACAGCACGCGAAAGGTAGAAAATGGCCTTCGTGCACCGTATGGCCATCGATCTAGCCGTTGACAGTCACATCGATGACGGATCTAGCCTTTGACGGCCAGGTTAGATTTTGCCGTCAACGGCCAGATCTGGCAGAAAATGGCCATATCGGCGTACGGTGGCCATTTTTGGCCTTTCGTGCATCGTTCCGGCCATGACGGCTGCTAGCCACGGTGGTGGTTGCCGGCGGCAGGTGGGTGGGGGTGGTGGCTTGGGCGGGTTGCAATTTGTTTTGAATTCGAAGGTAATTTTGTCCAAAAATTTAATTAATTGGGGTGAAATAGTAAAAGCAACATTCATGTAAATAAATTTAAAAGTAAAGGCATTATTGTCGTAAAATTTTATTAATAAGGGATAGAATTGTAACAAAAAAGATTACTCTGATATCTTACAATACCTAAAAAGTTGGAGGTAATCTGATTACCTCCAATATTACCAATAGTAACTACTATTGGTATTTGAAGATTACCGGAATCTTATATTACTTGACAACTAAACGTGGTAATCAAGTAATATAAAATGACATAACCCTAATAATTTCAATTACCCCCAACCAAACGACCCTTATCTGTTATAACTTATTAGTGCAATTGTCTAACAGTGACATGACCCGCCTCGACCCTCCCTATCCCATAAGCTCCGGGCACACCTATCAGACTCGGGCGACCGAGACGTGCCGTGTGGGAATCTAAAAAAAAAACCTGTATTCTGAATACGCTTTTCATAAAAACATTCGCTTGAATTCTTTTTGAAAGCATAAACACATAAGATATATAGATACATTTGAAAATCTGAAAGTTAACTTGTACGTTCATAAAATCCAAAAAAACAGATGGTATCAGATCTTCATATCTTTTATAATCAACACAGGACATAAACATAGGGATAAAACATAATTCTGTAGCGGGAACATGCATGACATTTTTACACACATGATGAGTCGATGACATGTGGCCCAACCTCGAGAGGAAACGCTTCTTAGCATGACTCTTCCTGTGAACCTGGGAAAATGAGGACTAAAAAATGGTGAGCTGAAATACTCAGTGAGTGGGGGATTGGGGAGAGTTTGCAAAACATTCTTCAAACAATAGTCATGGCATGCAATAGTTCTTATGAAATCCTGAAAAACAACATGATTNCATAGTTAACATCAGTAATACTACGAAAACTTGA